GTCGTTTAAAGACTCGACAAAGACTGACAAAGACTGCAGTTTTCACCATAAAGACTTAAAAAGACTAAGTCAAAATCCAAGTCTTTACGAGGTCACTACGCGGTCACTACGCGGTCACTACGGTCACTACGCGGTCACTGCGCGATCACTACGCCGTCACTCGGTCACTACGCGGTAACTACGCAGTTGCTACGGTGACGTTACTCTGACCAGGATTACAGTTGCCTGCAACCACTTTGGAAATGTACTTTTACAGCGGGCCGCGGGAGCAGTCCCTACAGTTACAAAAGCTCAAATGATGTAGACTTGTGTGTCGAGAGCCTTCCGTATGTAAATCGCGCTCTGAACTGCATTCCGTTCCCGCCCTGCGCCTTCGCAACCATTTTGAGCAAAAATTGGTTCGGCACAGGGCGGTCACTCACTGGAAATGTTAAAGCGGTGGAACGGGAAAGCCAAGTTCCATTAGTTCGGCAATGTGAGATTCATTGGCATGTCTGCATGCTTGAGGCGTGTATGCGGCAAGAGCCATGTTTCCACGATGCTCTTCCAATATGATATTTCCGTGCATCGAACATAACGGCCTTGTTATGTATTTCAATCCACGTTCCGCGTAGCAGTTTTCAACCCCGCTTTTTGTTTCCAGCAATGTTGCTTGTCCGTTTTCATCCTCAACCCAGACGCGACCTATTGCACGGCGATGGAAGGGGCTTGGACTCACCAAAACGAACCCAATTCGGTTTCACATGTGTCTTGTTGGGCTTGGACGAACACCAACTTTGCCTCAATCCGGTCATGTTGAGGACTTCAAACTGACTTTACTCCAATCCAGCTGAACAGGTGTATTGTGGGCTTAGACAACAAAAATTCCCCAATCCGGTTTCACATGTGTCTTGTAGGGCTTCGAACTTTATCACACATGCTGCGCGGTTTGACTACGCGGTCACTACGCGGTCACCACGGGCCTTTACGCTTCCACAATCGAACTTTGCACTTTTCAAGCGTAAGCTCTCAAAGACTCGCATAGTCACACTCAGCAAGTAAAGCTTCTCACAGCAAGCAGATGGGGTCGACGCGGTATTTTGACGCATTGTCTGGAGCTGTACGCAGCTGCACGCGGCGCACGACGCTTTGGCAGTTTACGACGGTCACAACGGCAATCGATCATCAAGCAGGGCAACTTGCGGTCACTTTTCCAAAGTTACCGGACTCTCTCTGTGGTAGAGGTATGGCAGACGCACGAGACGATCCCCCGCTAGAATCGGGCATGCTCGAT